AAAAAAAAAAAAAAAGAGAGAGAAAAAGAAAAGAATAGAAACAAACCAAACTGTAGGTCATGAACACTTGTCCTAGACCAGCAGTTATCAATCTGTGGTTTGGGACCCACAGGAAATGTATTAAAGGGCCGCGGCGTTAGGAAGGTTGAGAACCACTGCCCTAGGCCTTTTCTTTCTTTAGTGGAAAGTTGTAATGGGACATGATAAAACTTGGGATCCCGGGTACGAATGCTCTACCTGTATTTATAAGTACTGTGTTTGAGTTTGCTTTGTAGTTTTCCCATCCCGGCACAGAGCCTACACGAAATCTTCTGTAGAGGACCTTGTTTCAGTTGCCACCCGAGTAGCAGCATTCCTTGTGGCTGCTGTAAGTTGTATTCCCTGTTAAGTAAAAATGTATAGTACATATTGTTAATTTTGTTGGGCAAAATTAGTAGTATAGTTTTGTTAAAATTAGACTCTTTTTTTAAAAAAAAGACTAATTCTATGCATTTGCTTTTTCTTTTTTTCCCGCTTCACTCTTACAGCCTTGGGATTGCAGCCTCTGATAAAGTATTAACAGATAAACAAAAATAAAAATAATTTCAAAAAACACAAGAAGTGCCTCAATAAATTAAATATAGGATTACTATAGGAACCAGCAATTCTACTCCTGAGTATACAGCCAAAGAAATTGGAAACAGGTGTTCAAACAAAAATTTGTGTATGATTGTTCCTGGCAGCACTGTTCACAGTGTCCAAAAGGTAAAAATGACTCAAATGCCCATCAATAGATAAATAACATATGGTCTACGCATACCCTGGAATATTACTGATCAACAAAAAGGAACAGAGTACCCATATATCTTCCAACACGGGTAAACTCTGAAAACATCATGCTGAGTAAAAGAAGCCAGACACAAAAGGCCACGTATTGTATAACTCCACTTATATGAACTATCCATAGTTAGCAAATCTACAGAGAAAAAAAGATTAGTGATTGCCAAGAGCAGGGGTGAAGAGGTGAATGGGAAGTGACTACTAAATAGGTACAGTTTCCTTTTTCCATGATGAAAATGTTGTAGAAAAAGATAGTGACGATGGTTGTACCACACTGTCTATATACCAAATGTCAATAATTGTGAATTATACTGTGTGTGCACTACCACAATAAAGTAGATAGTGGGAGCATATAATTAAAAATTTAAAATAGTTTACACTAGTAAAGCTTCTTCTTCTTCTTCTTCTTTTTTTTTTTTTTGTTTGAGACAGAGCCTTACTCTACTGCCCTGGGCAAAGAGCAGGGGCATCATCATAGCTTACAGCAACCTCAATTCTTGGGCTCAGGAGATCCTCTTGCCTCAGCCTCCCAAGTAGCTGAGACTGAAGGTGTTCACCACAACAAATAGCTAATTTTTCTATTTTTAGTAGAGATGGGGTCTTGAACTCCTGAGCTCAGGCAATCCACTCACCTCAGCCTCCTAGAGTGTTGGGATTACAGGCAAGAGTCTCCGCACCTGGCTGTGAAACTTCTTGAAAAAGAAAAGGCTTAATTATTCTAAAAGGTTATAAACAACCTTCCTTGGTTGCCAGATGATTTTTAAATAATTTCTTGTGGCACTTCTTCAAATCAGTGTGCCAGAGTCATGAGGTTCATTTAATATGAAGGAGATGCTAGAGATTCTGACATTAAGTTAGACTATATACGTAATGACCTAGACTAGCAGTTCTCTAAGTGTGACCTGAGGACCATGGGGGACTCCTGAGAGCCTCTCCAGAAGTCCAGGAAGACCTCCCTTTCCCAACTCTATGTGAGGCCTGCTTTTCTTTTTATATTTCAGCCTAAACAATATATTGCAGGTATAAGAATCCTCTGTTTAAGCCAAACATTAAAGAGATTTGGAAAAACATAAAAAAACCCACTTGTTTTAGAAGTGTATTTATTTGTCATCTATTATTTATGTTAACATGCAATAGGTTTATTATTATTTTATAATGAATAAGTAAATATTTTTAAAAATTTCTCAGTTTTAATGTCAAAAGATGGTAGAATAGCAGCGTTGTGGATCCAATCTATAACCTACATAAACAAAACCTCTTGGGGGGGTCTTCAATTTTTAAGAATGACAAAAAGTCCTAATGCCAAAAAGTTTGAGAACCACTGACCCAGAAATTAAATAATTAATTAATATTAGCTCCTACAATTAGAATAAAAAGAAAAATTAAATGTATTCCAGATATACTTGCATTGTTCCCCTCAACTAACATGGCTAGAACTAAAAAGAAAGAGATGTTCATCCATTTACTCTTTCAGGAAACCCCTCCCAAGCACCTAATTTGTGCAGATCCTATACCAGTTGATAGTGAAACAGAGAGAAAAAAAAAAAATCTGAAGATGTGACCAGCATAAACATTCACTGGTATTGAAGGAATCTGACTACAGGCCAATCCCAGATACTCCAGGTCATGTGTTCTCTATAACTTGCTGCCCCCTGGGACACAAAGAGCTGAAGGAAGTAAATGGGGCAGCTGGGGTTTTGCTTTAAAAAGTTCTAGGGGATGAACTTCTTATGGACATGACCAATCTACTTCTAGGAAGAACTGTCTACATGGAGAACAGCAGCTAAAACTCATTCCTATTACCATTAAAATTAGAGTGTTTTGGGAGAATTTGCATAAATTTTGAAAAATTTGCCAGAATTGATCCCCTGGCAAGAACAAATAACAGTACAGAAGCCCAATGCTGTGGAAATGGCATCAAGAGACCTGGGCTGTACCCCAGCTCTGCCTCATCCTTAATTTCCCACTCAGGGCCTCAGCCTCCCCATCTAGAAAACTAGGGCACTAAACTAAATGATTTTTTTCTTTCGGAATATGAAGAGGGCTGGGCACGGTGACTCACCCCAGTAATCCTAGCACTCTGGGAGGCTGAGGCAGGTGGATTGCCTGAGTAAAAGAAAGACCCCATCTCTAAAAAAAATAGCTTGGTGTTGTGGCAGGAACCTGTAGTTCCAGCTACCTAGGAGGCTGAGGCAAGAGAATCACTTGAGCACAAGAGTTTGAGGTTGCTGTGAGCTATGACACCATATCACCATATCACTCTACCAAGGGTGACAAAGTGAGACTCTGTCTTAAAAAAAAAAAAAAAAAAACCCAACCAGAATATTAAGAGGGTACAGATATTTTTGATTACATGGATCACTTTTTAATATTTAAGTCATGGCTACTGGTGTGCCCGTTACCCACATAGTGTTCTTTGTATCCATTAGGCAGGTTTTCTAAATGATTTTTAGTAGACCATGTGCTCCATAAGAAGGCCTCTCATTATTCATCTTTGTACATCAAGTGGCTTGCAAAGTGCTGTACAACAAAAGTGTTTGTTATGAAGTAGTAAATCTAAGAGTCCTACCAGTTCAAACATTCTAGAATTCTCTATAACAGGTCAGAGATGTGCTAAGAGGAAAAATTCGAAGTTTTCAAAAAGCTTGGGATATTGTATTATTTATGTACAGATGGAGAGTGCAGGGCTTCCTGTCTTCTTGCCTAACCCATTTTTCAACACTGTTATCAAACTAAAGACAGATGGCATTCATAAATCTAGGTCATTAGAAACTACAGGTGCTATAAATGGATTGGCTCTGCTTAAAACTGATTGGATTCTTAGCTAGTATATTCAGAGAGCCATATTTCCCAAATGAAGAGTATTCATGGGACGTTACAAGGAAAAGATAACTTTTAGAATTGCTTACCCGCAAATCAATAGGTCTTCTTGGTGAGCTGCTGTATTCAAAGATTTGTAATGTGTATCTTTTGGAAAACAATTCTAGGCAGCTACTTCCTAATCCCTGTAATTAGTGAAAAGATGCTCAAGTTAATCTCTTCTCTGTCTAATCATGTTTGCACTGATAAGAGATTTGTAAAGTAAGTAAGAACCTTGTTTAATTAAAGAGATTGTCAAGGGTAATTTTCTCTCACAAAGAAATATCTTACCAAGTTCCAAGATTATACAACTCTCACATTTCCAATAATTATGAAAAGTAAACCATAATGTTAATTATACTTCTGTTTTAAAATATGCAAAATATACTTAAATGCATCATTAAACATTTTTTACTCATAATGCAGTACTTCTATTGATCAAAAATCTTCAGAGTTGGCTTAGTTCAGAGTTTACTGAGAAAAAAGCAATTTCTCTTTTAAATAAGTATAATTCCTAGAATTAGAGATGGAAGAGCTTTTCAAAATCATCACATATAAACTAATTATTTAAAGATCTGGAGAATAAGAGCAGAAATATTACATGTATTTGCTCAAAATTAAAACAAGGCAGCTCTCTTGACTTCTAGTCCAGAATATAAAAATCTAAAAGAAGAAATGGTCTTATTGCATTTTAACAACCTATTTTAAGAATTCAAATAAATCCTATTTATTGGTTGACAGTATAGCTTAGTTTGAAAATTGACAGCAGCACAGAAGAGTCCGAACAATATTTGATTAATTAAGTGCATCAATGTTTGAATTACATAGGACTAGTTCTGAATCACAATTCTATTGTGGCCTTGGTGAACTGTTGAACTTAAGTCTTAGTTTCCTATGTGTAAAATAAGATAATAAATCTATCACTAGTGCCTGTGAAGATTAAAAATAGCAGTTAAGATGTGCCAGGAAGTGCTCTAAATGCTTTCTATTTATTAGCTCATTTAATCTATTCTACAAGCCTCTGAGATAGCTACTGTTACTAGGTTGAACATCCTTAGTCTGAAAATCCAAAGCATAAAATGCTCTAAAATCTGAAACTTTTTGAACACCAACATAATACTCAAAAGAAATGCTCATTGGAGCATTCTGGATTTCAAATTTTCAGGTTAGGGATATTCAACCAGTAAGTATATAATGCAAATATTCTAAAACAAACAAACAAAAGTCCCAAATCTGAAACACTTCTGGTCCCAGGCACTTTGGATAAGGGATATGCAACCTGTATAACCATTTGGCTAGTGAGAAACGCGAGGCACAGAGATATTAAATAACTTGCTCAAGTTTACATCAGCCAAAATTTGAATCCAGGCAATCTGATTCCAGAGGCCCTGCTCTGGACCAGCATAAATCTCTTTTCAATGCAAACAGTAGCATACTATACTGCATCTCTACAAAAACTAGTGCATATAAAGCCTTCAGTTCAACCTGGAAAACAATAAATGCTGATTACCAGCATGATTCTGAGATTTATAGCAATAATAATGGGAGTAGAAATTTCACCTCTATTAATTCTGTTCATAATACATGTTTAATATATATACCAAATATATACAGAGAAAATATACAAATGAATACGAGTCTGAAGGATATCAAGCTGAAATCAATTATGGCCCCT